GATCTTGGACATCCCATCACCCCATAAGGGATCAACATTGGAATTTGGGCTGCTAATCTCTTTTTCTCTCTATTATCTCCTTTTCTCTCTCCCCTTTCATCTCATTCCTTCATCCAAATCCCACTGACATGTTCTTTTATAGTAGGTTAGGGACTACATACCAATTTCCATGCCAAGTGTGTAATCTATCATTAAATACTTCTGATTTTTTGCAACACCTGTGACTTTTGTCATTCCTTATGACCAAAAACATTTACACATCACAGGAGAAGGTATCCCTGCCCCTCGCAGGGAGGTTGAAACGAGATGTAAGGACCCTTCCAACCCAGAGTATTCTGAGATTCAATGATTTAAATGATACTTTAGTGCAGATGTGACCATCATTGACTGCTCGGAGTGGCCAGCAAACTGGGAACTGCAGCCTGTGGCAGGCATGATTGCAGGGATCAGTGGAGTTACAGTGTGTATGCACAGCAAGCAGAATGTCATCGTTGAAAGGCCTGAAGGCAAGATGGCAACCATCCGGTCATTCGTGGTAAGGGCTCCCATCACCTTAAGGGGTAGGCACCTTCTATCCCAGTGGGGGGCTTCCTTACGCATTCCCAGTGGGAAGTTCTGACTGGCACCACTGAGGACTGCGCGCTGCTATCTACCCCTCGGCTCACTTGGAAATGTGAGGACCCAGTCTGGGTTGAGCAGTGGCCCCTCTCAAAGGTGAAATTGTGTGCACTAGAAGCCCTAGTTGAAGAGTATCTTGCCAAAGGCCACGTCATTGAGACCACCAGCCCTTGGAACTCCCCAGTCTTTGTGCTGAAAAAGCCTGGAAAAGACAGGTGGAGACTTTACATGATCTTCACAAGATCAACAATGTCATTGAGGACATGGGTCCCCTCCAGCCTGGCCTTCCCTCACCATTGATGCTGCCTCGAGACTGGACTCTTGACATCATAGACATCAAAGACTGTTTCTTCAGCATCCCGCCACACCCCCAAGATGCCTCCTGCTTTGCCTTCTCCGTCCCCTCTCTTAACAGAGAGGCTCCACTCAAAAGATATCATTGGCTTTGTCTACCTCAAGGCCTCAAGAATAGTCCAACTATATGCCAGTGGTACGTCGCTCACATTCTGTCCCTCATCTGGAAGCTATTCCCAGATGCAATCATCCACCACTACATGGATGATATCCTGGTCAGTGCATCAGAAAAGACTTATTTGGACAAAGCGGTTAAAAAGACCATTGAAACTATAGAGAAACCAGGATTTGAGATTTGTGAGGACAAAGTGCAGTACACCAGCCCATGGACTTATCTCGGACTCCAAATTTGTGAAAGGACCATCGTACCCCAGCAGCTCACCATCCAAGACGAACCAAAGACCCTGAGAGATTTGTACAGTTTATGTGGGTCCATCAACTGAACACATCCCCTGATAGGAGTTACAACAGAAGACCTCACCCCCCTGTTCCATCTTCTCCATGGCAGCAGAGAACTGGACTCTCCACGTGCCCTCACACTAGAAGCCCGTGATACCATCACCAAAATCCAAGAAGCCTGTCTTCACACCAAGCCCATCACTTTGAGCCCAGCCTGCCTTTCCAGTTTGTCATTTTGGAAAAGGCCCCCCATTTTTATGGACTGATTTTCCAATGGGACCTTCAACTCAGAGACCCTCTATTGATACTTGAATAGATCTTTACAAACAACCAGCCTACAAAAACAATTACCACATTTGAGGAAATCTTGGCACATCTAATTAAAAAAGCCAGGACCTACCTCCGCCCTTTTGCAGGGTGTGATTTCACATGCATATGCCTGCCACTGACTACTGGAGACCTAGAGCATTTGCTCCAGACCAATGAAAAGCTCCAGTTTGTCCTGGATAGCTAAACAGGCCAAGTTTCAATCTGCATACCAAAACATAAACTTTTTAATGTGGCCTTTAATCTGATCCCAAAATTAGTCCAAAGCAGGACACCTTTCAAAGCTGTAACTCTTTTTACAGATGGCTCAGGGTCATCCCACAAGTCTGTGATGACCTGGAAGGACCCCAAGACCCAAAAGTAGGAATCTGATGTCCAAACAGTGGAAGGATCCCCACAGATAGATGAGTTAGCAGCTGTTGTCAGAGCCTTTGAGAAATTCAAAGATTTAATTTGGTCACAGATTCAGTTTGTGTTGCTGGTATAGCTATGAGGGCAGAACATGCTTTTCTCGAAGACGTTTCAAATCCAAAGTTACACCAATTGATCTCTGCATTAACTTGTTTAATCTCCCACAGAAAGCAACCTTACCATATTATGTATGTGAGGTCACACACCAACCTGCCAGGTGCCATCACAGAAGAGAATAGGAAAGCAGATGCATTGGACATGCCAGTGGATGGACATGCCAGTGGAAATGGCTAATGTCCCTGACATCTTTGCTCAGGCAAAGTTGTCACATGCATTTTATCACCAAAATGTACCTGCCCTCATCAGAATGTTCAAGCTCTCAAAAGATCAAGCAAAAGCTATTATTGCAACATGCCCAAATTGCCAAAATTACCAAATGCCGTCTATGGGTACTGGGGTCAATCCCCAAGGCAGTAACAGCTGTCAGCTGTGGCAGACTGATATGACTCATTTTCCATCTTTTGGGAGGTCTAAATAAGTGTATGTGTCAGTTGACATGTTTTCTGGAACAGTGTTTGCATCAGTTTATGTGGGAGAAAGTGTCACTCACACCATCAAGCATTTTCTTCTTGGCATTTGCCACGCTGGGAGTCCCAAAAAACCATCAAAACAGACAGTGGACCTATGTCTCTTACAGGTTAAAAGAGTTCTTCAGTGAGTGGGGAATAGAACACAATAGAGGCATACCTGCAAATCCTACAGGGCAATCTATCATAGAAAGGACTTGTCAAACCCTCAAAACAGTCCTCCATGAACAATGGAGAGAAGCAAAAATTACATCCCCTGTCGAGATACTTTGTAAGGCACTCTATGTCATTAACTTCCTAAATTGTACAGCATCTGAGCCTGACCCTCCAATCCCTCGCCACTTCTCAAATTCAACCCGAGCTAAGCTCACTGAGAAGCCACCAGTGCTAGTAAAAGACCCAGAGACTCATCAGGTTTGGAGGCCTTTCCAACTGATTACCTGGGGAAGAGGCTATGCCTGTGTCTCACTACCATCTGGCCCAAGATGGTTCTCAGGAAAAAACATAAAACCATATCTAGGCACTGCAAACACTGCCCCCACAGGCACTAACAAGAATTCTCCTGAGTCAAATACAAGACCTCCACAAAACCAGAACTGCTCTGCATGGAGACCGCGGTGTCACCGAGCATCCACAAACCAGAGAGAAGATCATCCAGTCACCCAATAGCAGACAAAACAGAGAACTGAGCAAGATGTTCCCGCATCAGTCAAGCCATAGGCCAGACACAGCCTGGTCACAAACTGCTCCCTAGTTTATATGTTGTTACCCCTTTTTCCCTAAAAACCCTCATGTCCCCCTTCCTCAACCCTTGCCAGAACCTCCCTAAACTCTATACCTACCTCCCCCATCCTCGGCTTTTAGTATATAGAAAAAGGGGGAGAAAGAACAGAGGAAAGGGATGAGGGAAAAAACCCTAACTCTCCCCCCACACCCCACCCCCCAAAAAAAACAACAACCAAATTTTGTCATCAGAAGCCCCATCCCTGCCCAAAGATGAAAATTAGCTTCTTGGTCACTGGGGACTAACAGGATGGGTGTCATCTTTAGTTAAGGGGATTTTATGGATTTTTATTGTGATTATTATTGTCTTACCTATGTTCTCATGCCTTCTCTGTTGCTTCAAATGAGCTATAGGAGATGCCTTTTTACTAAATACAGAGACAGGAGTTGTGGAGGAAGCCCAGTCCTCTGACAGGCATCCTCCCTGGAGATATGTCCCCTAAGACAAGACAAAACCACCTAGTCACAGTGACTAAGCTGTGGACCCCTTCCTGCTTCAGGACCCCATGTTACTTTCTGTGAAATGCTACATGGTGTTCCCATCTCTTGTCTGCGTTGGCTGTGGTAACCCCTGAACACAGCTGGCTGGGCTGAACAGAGCTGATCACTGCAGGAGCAGAAATCACATCTAAAAGAGCTGATCACTTCAAGCCTCTGGCCACGCTCCTAAGGGTTACCCCTGGCTGGAAACAGCCTGGAACTGCCTGGATGGTGGCTCTCTTACCCGGGATGTCTATCTGGGCTTGTTACTGGCAGAAGCTGGGGGTCAGACAGACCCCCAGGCCCAGAAACAACGCTTTATTACATACCTTTTGAATGCATTAGGAAAATCTCATGATCAGGATAATAAATTGTTTGGAGGTCTCACTGCGTTTGTTGTCTCATATGCAACAGAGAATGGTGAGGATTGTGTCTGCTCTGGTGAAAATGTTACAGATACAGAAAATGAGTACCACCTGTATCTCTCAGGGTATTCTGGTAGAGTTCCATGTAGACTCCACTCTATTGCTTATGAGGATTTATTAATTTAAAATGTTTTTTGTTTTCTTCATTACTATCAGATTAATTAGAAAATGTTAATAACCCTTTTTTTGGATGGGGCTGATATACAAGGGTTGTAATTATAGTAAAGAGGGATGACATGGCTGATGCTGTAGGAATAGACTTTTTTTGTGGGAGATGTCAATCCAGATTCCAGCTCAATGAATTCAGAACTTGGTGGGGATGAGAAGATGCATGATAACTTTCTCTTTTATGAGCTGCTCACTTGAAAAGCCTGGTTAATTTTTGTCACCTTGCTTAATTTATGCTCTAATTTGGGAGAGAAAAATATATTTTGCAAAGGCACATTGAAAGTTTATTGATTAGGGAAGCTGGGCCAGATCTGATAGCCTAGTCCAAAAGTGCGTGGAGGTGAATCATCTTGATGGCTTTGTTTGTGAAAAAAATACGTGACCAAAAATTTTGGGGAATTTCCTCTTAATCATAATCACATTTGTTTGTTTGTTTTGTCTTTTTCAGGAGCATCCCAGGCCAGAGTATGAAACCAAACTGCTGCAGAAAAAGCTGAAAAATAAAAACATCACAACAGAAAATTCAAATGAGGTGAGATGCAGCTTGCTCTTTTAATTTATGTGGAATTTGTGTTTTGTTATGTTGTGATTATATTTTTGTCTGTCTCTCAGAGGTTGCAAAAGGCACTTTTTTAGTGCTCTTAATTAGCCTTTTGATTTGGTAGATGGTGGTGTGGTGAAATGCAGGCCTGCAGTTGCCATTGCAGGGCTTTGAGGTCATGTCTTTCAAAGTAAAGCTATTTGCATATAAATGGAGTTGACAGGTGGTTCAGGATCTAATCTGTAGAGTAGTGCCTGATTCCCAACATAATCACTACAGAATTCTTAGAGCAATCCCTCCGAATGCCTGAACTTTCTGCACAATGAAAAAAGCAGCTTTTATTATGGTGATTTCACTTGCAAAGGTAATCTTGGTGTCTTTAGTCCTGTTGCAGTTACACAGCTGTGAAGTTTTAATGGCATTTCCAGGACAAATAGAAAAATAGTTGGTAGATCATTTTCAGAACTAAAGCGGGTTCAGGATTTTGATGGCTATTTCAAACTTTTTTGAAGAAGTCCTTTTAAATCAATCTCCTCTTGTAAACTGTTGACTTGAGATCTATTTTTTAAACATTCACAAATTGTGTAGTCTTGGTCCATTAGGCTTGGTTAACCATTGTTCATTCCCTGCATTCCATGTGTGCCAGAAAAGTCTAAACATTCCAATACCATGTACAACTTCCAGGGAGAAAAATCCATTTTAATTTGCTGGTTGAGAATCAGTATCCAAAGTGAAGAATTTTCAAATTTTCAGGTTTGGTCCAACAAATTTAGCTTGTGGAAGAACCTCATTACCCCTTTCTTCTGCTGACCAGCATTGTAAAGTATTTCCAGGGAATCTTTCATTTCAGTGAGCCTGCCTTTCACCTGTTGTGCTGAACCAAACTCAACAGAAGATCATGGAAAGATTCTCAATTATTTTAGTGGACTTTTGATATTGCCCAATAAGCAGAGACTCGCAGAACATTGTGGAGACTTACACATTACCCAGCTGTCTTGGCCTCCCAAGTGAGGAATCAAAGTAAAAGTCCAATAAAAGAATTGCTCTTCAGCTTTTTTTTTGGCTTAAAGTAAATGGGAACCGGAAACAAGTCAGCCATTGATGCTCTAGAAATAATTATGAAATTAATGTAAAATAAAAAGCAACAGAAAAAAAACCCAAACAAAAATCCCCCAAAACACCAACCAATCGAGAAAACCCCACACTAAAAACCAAGAAAGAACCCCAGAAGAAATGTTAAATGAATAGGTGGAAAACAAGGAACAATGTAAAGTTCCAGCATTACAAAAATCGGAAAATCTCCTTTCAGACATCAAGAATGAAAAAGCTAACATGGAATATTTTTTGTCAAATTTCTTTCTCTGTCCATGTGGATGGAAAAAACACTGAATTTCTGAATTAGTGTTCCTCAAATTACTGAAATACATTCAAAGCAACTGAGCAGTTTTCCATCAGTGAACATTCTGCCTACTAATTCTGTCCAGCAAACAGCACATTAGTCTGGGGTTGCAAGATGTGTTGCTCAGACCTTTGTACGTCAGTGTCTTATGAAATTATGAGAGCAACACATTTTGATCTGAGAACTTCAGAAGAGGGAAAAAACTAAACGTAGCAGTTCAATTAAACTGTCCTAACTGTGGAAATGCACCATTACATTTTGCTTTGGAAGACCCTGAAAAGCTAGATATTAAAAGTGATGAATATTTAAGACTGCAATAATTCTTCAGCCTTATTTTTAGAGGTTTCAGCCTTTTCTTTTTGCAAGATCAAGCTCAGGAGATGTTGTGTGGCAGGATAATATAAAGACACAGGTTTCTGTGAGGTCTCTGGCTCAGTATTTCTGTTTTGTTGGGTGGAAGCCAGGGTACAGAACTTTGTCATGTTACCAGGGCAGACCTAGTAGCTGGACAGGCATCAAAGTAGAGATGTCTCTGTAGTTACAGATTCAATCCTCCTAATTTCTTGGTTTATTGTGAATACAGAGATGTCTGTGAGGTCTCTAACTCTTCATGTCTTGGTTGACAGTCTAATGTCATGGCAAAAGTCTCTGTGAAGTTTTCTGCTGCATATTTTTAGCTAACTACTGTAAATTAAAGGCATATCTTTTTTATGTGTGGCTGCTCAACAACTGTAGTTGTGCTGTGTTAATATCAAAGGACTGGCTCTGGCACCGCTGCCTATAACTTCTCATTACTTATCTAACATGAAGTCAGAAGTCTCCAGTTCAGCAGCTGTGGCTTGTTGGGATAGAAATGATGCCAAAGGATGGCTATTGTGAGAATACTGGTCCAGAGCTTACTTAAAGGCATGTATTTCTATAAAATTGCTGGCTTGTTTCCAGTATGTTAATTCCTCTGTTCCAGTGAGGAAGTGACTGGTTTTATGGCAAGAACCAGCTTTTGTGTGCAAAGATCTGTGTACAGTGCAATTTTTTTCCTTGCCGTACTCCAGCAAGAAGTTCCTGTGAAGCTAATTGGGTTATTTTTTGCAATGAAGGGACAAGGGTTTGGTTAGGGGCTGCTTTTGTGATTGCAGAAGAAAGGTGACACCACTTACATCCTCTCTTAAATGATAACTTGGGAATACTGGTTCAGAGGAAACCAGCACACGGTTTTCCCTCTCTGCTGTTCAAGTCATTAACTTTAATGAGTGCGGAAGATGCCCAGCACCTGTCAGGGCCAGTAAACATATGAGTCACTCTACCCAGGCAGCAAATTCCAAATCAGCCTGATGATCCTGTCAAGACAAAGTATGACACATCTAATGTATTACTTGCCCAGTGGGGTTTGTGTTCTAGAATAACAGCTCTCATACAAAACACGACTTGGTGTGTTTCCGCTACTGGAATAAGCAAAGAACAAAATTTCACCCTCCACCATCCTATTCAGACTGTTTGAATAAATATTTTATTGGTTATTCAGAGGGTGAGAAAGCAACTGTGAGGGCTCAATTCAGAGCGCTTCATGAAAGATTGGTGTGAAATTACTCTAACAATAACACCCTAAAGTTCTATTATTTCAGGAGAGAATTAATTTACAGCTAAAGAAGTTGAAACATTTGTGTGAAATGCCTCAGGTTAAGTAGCAAATAGATAAACAGACAGTCCTTATGAATTATGACATTGATTTTAGAAAATGACAAGTTCTAAGGGACTGGTTTAGGAAATCTGGAATGATCTGCCTTATAGTCAGTACTACTGTTTCATTCTTTGTGGTCACACACTATTTACAAGGACATGTAGCGACAATGTAAGGGGGAATTACTTGAAACTGACAGACAGCAAGTTTAGATTAAATATTAGGATGAAATTCTTCCCTCTGAGGTGCTGAGGCCATGGCACAGGTTGTCCAGAGAAGCTTGGCTGCCCCATCCCTGGAAGTACTGAAGACCAGGCTGGATGGGGCTCTGAGCAACCTGGGGTAATGGAAAATGTCCCTGCCCACTGCAGGGGGTTGGATCTGACTGATCTTCAAGGTCCCTTCCAATCCAAACCATTCTATGATTCTCTAATAGAAAGGCTTGCAATGTATAGCTCCTTTATTCATGTACATCAAAAGACATTTTTGTCCTTGCAGCAGAGATAAAGGATTATACACACATGTATGAATGCATGTGTCTGACAGTACATTCATGAAAATATGGCAGATGAAAGCTTTGTAATGGAACAATTTATAATATATTTTGTTTTTCTTAAATGAATGGTAACACAGAAGATGTGGATAAAAATATATAATGAATAGTGTTGTTATTGTATGTGGAGAATGTTAACTGAAAATGTGGTGGATATCTTCTAGGTTCTGAGAAGTTGCTCTTCTCTCTCTGCAGTAGTGCCATCCTCAATGGAATTACACAGAGTCAGGAAATGAAAACTGGTGTTGTGCCTGAAAACATGCAGATGGGGCTAGAGCCAACTCTCACTGGAGCTGATGGAAAGCCTTCCAGTTATTTCTGTGAGAGATGCATCAGGCCCTGACTCCTTTTCATTAAACGTCCAGCTGATCTGGCAAACATGATTCAACACAATGTATATATATAGACATATATATATGTATGTGTGTGTGTGTTCTTATTTCTCCTATTTGGCAGGAAAATAACTCATTCTACATACTTCTCAAGGAAGATTTTCTTTATAGAAGAAAAAGGGCTTGTGTCTTGGCTTGTGTCCTAACTTGGAGAAAACCCTAGGAGTAATAGAATCTGGTATTCTGTCTTTCCTTTAATTCATTTTAAATATGATATTGGAAGAATCAATTATTTAAATTGTTAATTCAGCTAGTAATTGAAACAGAAATATTTCTTCCTGAACCATTGCTTCAGTTAACAACTGAATTAAAGCAAGCTGGTTTGAAGAGGAGGGTCTCTGGTGTAAAGGATGATACAGATAAACATGAAGTAGAATTGTACATTTCTAATACTTTATATATCTATTTTTAAAATTTCAACATTGCAAAACATGGAAAAATAATTCTTGCTATAGGTTGATTCCTTACCAGTGTTCCATAAGCAAATCTCCCACAAGGACTAAAATCCCTTTCAGATACTGGAGCCCAACTCTTCATTAAGCAAGTCCTTGATAAGATTAACTAAAGCAAAAAAAAATCTCTTATTATTTTATATATCAGCTGAAACTCTGTAGAAGAAACCAAGATAATTGGTCATAAATACCAATTTCAACAATTGGAATTATAAAAGGACTTTAAGTATACCCAGAGTTCTTTAACCCCTAATATTTTAGCATTTATTGAATCATATTATTAGTATGATAAACCCTTCAGTTTGATACAGTATTTCTTAAACTGGCCAGTGTCTTTCTGGTCTTTTTCATGTTTTTGAGAAATATCTTTTTAAGCATATGGGATAGTTAGATGAATATGCAGTAAATGATTTTTTTTCCTTTTCAACTTATTTCTTCCATCATAAACTTTTGAAAATAAAAAATGACTGAATGAAAATAGAAGAATGGCTGAAGATGAATGAGAACAATTATGATTATAATATTACACAGAGATTTAATCCTCTTTTTTGTTATAATTATGGTTCTTTTAATGTTTATTTGAGTTCTAGGTTATGATAGTTTCATACCAGAGTATTTATAAGCAAAATTTATGACTTCAAAGGAGTGTTGATATGGTCTTTCAATGTGTTGTTTAGATATGGGAGTTCTTTAATTTTAGAGTATATGGCATGTGTTCAAACCTTCTCACTGTTGCTGTCTTGGAATCTGGTTATCTTTGTATGGTGTTGTATAAGAAATGCAACTAAAAATATCCCACTTGCTCCCTGTTCTTCTGAAAATCTACAGTGCAATTTTCTCTTCTGTCTCAGATGAAACCAAAGGTATGGCCACAGTACTGTGTTCCTCTGTTTACAATTTTTTTCCAGACTTCAGTAGGAAATAACTCTTTCTACACTCTCAATATGAAGTAGTAGAATGCTTAAAAGTATACTATAGTAGAATATTCCAAGTTGGGAAGGCTTTCAGGATTTTATGTAGTCCAAATGTACTCCTGTTGAAAGGTCTGATCTCAAACCGTGTTACTCAGGATATTACCCAGTCAGGCTACGTAAATCTCCAAGGGGATTTCTCCATTTTTTTGGACATGCCCTGACTGTTCTCATTGTGTAAAAGCTTCTCATTGTATCTAGCCTGAACCTCTCTGCTTTCAGTATAAGCCTATTGTCTCTTGTACTTCCAGCATTAACCACTGTAAAGAGCCTGGCCCTGTCTTTTGATGAGTTCCTTAACTGTGCTGAGCAAGCCTTGTTCCTGAGTTTCTCTTCCTTGTACATGTTCTCTGCCCTTGACTTACATAAGTAGTGCCATTAATGTTTTCTACTGGGAGGCCCAAAGCAGTATTTTGGATACAGGCTGAAGAGTGCTGCAAAGCTGGGGTAATCACTTCCCTGGATCCACTCACTGACACAGGGGCTGCAGTCCACAATGCTGTTGGACTGCATTGCCAGGGCACAATCTTATTCATCTTGTTTTCTGCAGACACCAAAGGGTCTTTTCACTAGAGACAGTTCTCCTGCAAGGAGTTTTCTGTTTCAGAGGCATTTGCTCTTTATAAAGTTCAGGAGGTTAGTAGAGACCTGTTCCTTCAGTCAGTCCAGTTCTCTCTGGAGGGCAGCTACATGCTTAATAAAACTGACATCTCTTGATCCCACCCCAGCCTGATGTTATTGTGCAGGAGCAAGAATTCCATCACCTCCTCCTGGTCCTTTCTGTAAAGCAGGGCAGTTCTAGGATGACCACAGCATTACTCCAGCTGTTACAGGTTTCCAGGCACACTTATTGACTAACACCCTCTGAGCAAACCATGGAACTCACCTTTTGCTGAAGTCAAGGCAAATGGCATGGGCAAATCTCCTCTTGCCCACAGGTCCAGTCATTTTCCTCACAGAAAGCAGTCAGGTTGGTGCAGGAATGATTCACCCTTGGTAAATCCAAAATGAATCTTCACAAATACCTACTTCTCCTTAGTATTTAGAATGTGTTTCTTCACTTTTCAAGAGACCAATATGAGACTTATTATGATTCCTTAATTATTTTAATTATTCTTTAGTCCTTTCTGTGAGGATGGATACAAGATTGTTCTTTCTCCTATTCTCATGGCCCTTCCCTGATCTCAGTGTCCTTTCAAAGATGACAGAGAGCAACTTACAATAAATTATCCTGTTCATCTATCTTTCATTCTTTTTCTTTGAAGTTATAAGTAAATTAAATCACTGCTTGTCTTTCCCAAAGGAATATTTTTTTTTTTTTTTTTTGCATAGACAGCTAAAAGGTGTTAAATTAGGAATACTGGATGCTTTTTTATTCACCTGTTGGAGCCTGAACAGCACAGATTAGAGCAAGGATTTTAAGAAAATGGTGTCTTACACTTGTGAGATTCTTTCTGCTAAAAAATTTATAAACGAAAATAGTGGTCTTTGTTGGAAGATTGGAAGAGTGTTTGGAACCTAGAAACTAGAGAAGGCAGGGCTGCTGTTTACTGCTCTTATTTGTGTAACTTACTAAGATTTTGGCTGAAGGAAGCATTCTTTTTTGGGCAGTGCTATAGCTTGCATTGTTTAATTGTGGAACTCTGACCCAAGCATATGATTAAAGTTAAGCACAGGCTTCAGCATCCTGGATACAGATACAATTAAATGCTTTTTCTGAATTGAGGCCTAAGCTTCTTATCCACAGCATTCAAGATGATGCAGGTCTTTCCGATTAAACAGAGTGGAAGGACTAATTTCTATGGGTTCTATTCATCAGTACTTGAAATTAACGGGAGTTCTGCATGAGTAAGTAACATAGTCCTTAAGTCTGCACTTACTGACTTGTATTGTACCCTGTCAAAGACCGTAATAACAGGTTGGAGGGCCACAGCAAATTTTCAGGCTGAAAAATAAATCTCCAGAAGTCTGCAGGTTTTGATTTAATGCACTAGAAAAACTAGTCAGAAAAAAAATTAGAGTATTCTCCCTTTCCTGTGAGCTGGTAAGGAACTCCTGTATCTTGGAGTAAATATTTTACCTTCTGTTGAGCACATTTATGGGTAAATTTCATGCGATTTACCTTCTACAGAAGCCCAGATTTGGGACAAAATTTACAGAAATTGGCTGTGTAAACAACAGTCAGTTGAGTTAGTTGCCAAGAATTTTTTATTTGTTGCATGCTGAAATCCTGTCTACAATTTGAAAGAAATAAACTGTATTTACATTCAGTTCCTTTGGGCATCCATCCCACAAAGATTGAAATTCCACAAACTCCAAGTTTAAGGAGCTAAGGAACTCAGTTTGAACTGCTCAGTTTTTGCAGATATTACCATGCTTGATTAAAAAAAAACTTGCCTGTTGATCTGCTGATTTTTGTGATTCACTTGATTTAGGGATATGGTGGCATTGTATTTAGAAGTCTCTTCACACTGTGATATTTCATGTACTAAATAAACTTGACACCAAGGGTGTCAAAGTGATGGAGCAGCTCTGCCATGAGGACATGCTGAGGGAATTGGGATTGTTCAGCCTGGGGAAGAGAAGGCTTTGGGGTGACCTCATTGTGGCCTTGCAGTGCCTGAAGGGAACCCACAGGAAAGATGGAGAGAGACTCTTGACAAGGGCCTGGAGTCACAGGACATGGGGGAATGGCTTCACACTGACAGTGAAGAAGTTTAGATTGAATATTAGGAGGAAATTGTTCACTGTGAGGGTGGTAAGGCCTTGGCACAGGTTTCCCAGAGAAGTTGTGGCTGCCCCATCCCTGAAAATGTTCCAGGTCAGGTTGGATGGGGCTCTGAGCAACCCGGGCCAGTGGAAGGCATCCTTGCCCAGGCAGGACTGGTTGGAATGAGGTGAGATTTAAGGTCCCTTCCAACTCAAACTGTCCTGTAATTCTATGATTGTAATTTGCCCAGATATTTTGTGGAGTCTCCATTTCTAGGGATAAGTAAAGCCTGACCAGAGGCCTGAGAAATCTGCTCTAAGTGACCCTGCTCTAAGCAGGATATTGGACTAAAATAATCTCCTGAGCTCTGTTCCAACTCCAATGTTGTGCAATTCTGTGAAATGCAGGAATAAAATGATTCAAACAAGTGCAGACAAATTGGTTTGACCACAATAGGCATATTTTGAAAGAAAATATAATTTGAGCTTTACTAGAAGTGCTTGAGCAATGGGACAAAATGTAACTTGGGTTTACTAAAGGCAGATTGATAACCATGCCATCCAAATTTGTGTGTTTGATTAAGGATATAATGGATTCCCTATGGAAGGGAAAATAGTGTACTTCAGTAAATCAAAACTGTATTCCACAGGGGAAATATAATGTATTTAGTAAGTTATTAATCAATATCTTTCACTGTGACTGACTAAAAAAGTGTGCATAAGAATTTTCATTTCAGAGAAAGAGAAAAATCTGGTTTTCAAGTAGCTGATTTGACAATGCCACTACAGTGCCTTCTACCCACTGCTGTTCAGTGCCCATCTTTCTCTGCTGTCCTCGACGTCATGATTTTCCATCATA